TTTGTGTTAAATGGTGAACAGCATTACTAATGACCTGTTGAACTGCATTACTGTGAACAGTTCCTCCCTGGCTGACTGGAGAGGAGTCCCTCCAAATCGAAGAAGACAAAGATGTTACTCTGACCTGCAATGCCAAATCCAACCCTCAAGCCCAAGCAGCTTGGTATAAGAACAACACCACGTTGATCCTCCAGCAAAATCGTTACCAGCTGTACCAGACTAGTGAGGTCTTTCAGCTCTCTATCAAAACAGTACAAAAGTCTGACAACGGGACCTACACCTGCGTGGTGAAATCTTCTTTGGGAGAGGGGAGAAAGGATTTCCACTTGATAGTTGAAGGTAACAAGGCTGCTGCCAAACAATAAGCTTTACAAATAACTCTCCATTCTCTTTTATAATGATAGCAAGCCATTTAGATTAAGAAGTGTAAGTGGAATGTGGTGAATTCCCCACGTTAACTTTCGAGAGCACAGCAACAGCAAGGAGCTCCCCTTGCACCTGTGCCTGGGACCACAGCACCAGGAAGGGCCTTTCCTTCTCTACCTGTTGTTCAGAGGCATTTGGCAAGCGCGACCTGAGAGAGTCTCAGCCCACTGTCCCACTTCCTACGCTAACAGGGCACATGCAAGCGTGGCTTAAAGCACCTTAGGTCTTACCTGAAGCATCTTACTCTGACCATAGTGTTCCATCATGCCAAAAGAGCTGCTTAAGGGAAGTTGTCCTCCAGAACTGGCTATAGCGTTGTGGACAACAGGGAGGTGGAAGCCTGGCTGGGGCTGGATGCTCAGATCTCAGACAGGTGACACAAGGTGAGGTGACCCACCAGGCATCCACTTCGCACCCACTGGCCAGGTCTCTCTCATTTCTGCACTCTTGGACCAGGGAGGAAAGCAATGTTAGCTGTGTCAGTGGTACTTCTGGCCACCCCTGTTTCCATGCATAAGAGTGCCTTGGGGATCTTCTTCAGGGACTGACGTTTCCATTCTTCTTTCAGTTCACTAAAGTGCAGGCTTGGCTCCCTTCTTCCCAGGGGAGTAATGCACACAGTCGGTCTGTGGACAGCAGAGAGAGCACAGTTCAAATCAGCAGGGACAACCATGGGAAAAGAAATATGTCTTTCAGCAGTTCTGTGAAATGCTCTGTTTTATATGACTATACCAATGTATCATATGTTCAACCTCCTCTCTCTCGACAGATAAAAAACCTGTTTTCCCCCAGGAGGCCATTATTGCTGCTGTCGTGGTGGTTACAGTCACGGTACTTTTTGGAATTGTGGCTAGAAAAGATAAAATTTTTAAGGTAAGGAAAGCTCTAGGTTCTTAGGAAAAAAATAGTATTGTTTTGTTGCAATGCCCTGTTTTTTTCTTCCTTTTCTATTCTACCTGGTAGTGTTGCTTTCCACTGTTATGAGAACTGCTACATACGACCTCCTGCTTTCGAATTACCAGGAGATAAATCAAATATTAGATGTTTTAAGGTGGAAAGCATTACGCACATGCAAGATATTTGTAAAAATGTCTCTGTGGCCAGGAAATACAAAAGATAACAAGACTGTTTCTTTATTTTCAGTGCTTCAAAAGATCAAGTGAAACAGCTCTGTAAGTATTTTACTGCTTATTCATGCAGCTTCCAAACGACCCCCCTTTTTTAAGCCTTGGCAGAACCTGGGAAACAAAAGAGCACTCAGCGCACTAAACCCAGCCAGGCAGAGTTACGGAGCTCTTGTTCTGGCTGGATAACATGAGCCCACACCTCCTCCCCCAGCAGAGAGGGGTCCATGGGAACTGGCAGGACACAGGCAGATCCCGCCCCAGGCACACCACGGCTCCTGCCCTTGCTCTGGCCATCCCAAGGTCCTGGCTATACCTGCGTGGAGGCGGTGGGGAACAAATATATGGACAGCCCAGAAAGCCAACTGTGTCCTAGGCTGAGTCAAGAGAAGTGTGGCCAGCAGGGTGAGGGAGGGGATCCTCCCCCTCTGCTCCCCTCTGTCAGACCCCCTCTGCAGTGCTGTGTCCAGCTCTGGGGGCACCAACATCAGGACACGGACCTGCTCAAGTGGGTCCAGAGGAGGCCACAAAGATGCTCGGGGGGTGCTGGAGCACCTCCCCTGTGAGGACAGGCTGAGAGAGTTGGGGGGTTCAGCCTGGAGAAGGTTCTGGGGAGACCTTATAAGAGCTTTCCAGTACTTAAAGGGGCTACAGGAAAGGTGGGGAGGGAATCTTTATCAGGGGTGTAGGGATAGGATGAGGGGTAACGGGTTTAAACTGAAAGAGGGGAGATGCAGATTAGATCTAAGGAAGAAATTCCTCCCTGTGAGGGCTGACACAGGCTGCCCAGAGGGGCTGTGGCTGCCCCCTCCCTGGAAGGGTTCAAGGCCAGGTTGGACGGGGCTTTGGGCAACCTGGGCTAGTGGAAGGTGTCTCTGCCCATGACAGAGTTGGACCTCGATGACCTTTAAGGTCCCTTCCAACCCAAACTATTCTATGACTATTTGATTTTATGAAACATAACAGCTGGAAGCATTCTGGAGCTGAACATAGCCCAGGTGAATTCAACTCACTTTTTTTTTTTTCCCTAGTAGGTGATTTTTCATTTCTTCTCTTCATTTTGCTGCAGGTAAAGACCAGGTTCCTGTGCACACCCAGAAAACATCATTTCTAGTGGTGGAACTAAGCCCTTGAGTGAGATGATGAGATAAAGCACTGAAACAAGGTTTTTTTGGGTCAAGATTATACAGTCTTTTCAAAATAGAAGTGGTTCTTTGCATCTGTTCATTCTAACCTACTGCTTAGAGCACTGCCATGGGGGGGGGGGGCTACCTGAGCTGCTGCCAGACCTTGCCCTCCGTGCTTATTCCTACGAGGTCTGCATGTGCAGTCAGGCATTGGCCTACGGAGGAATCCATCCAGGCTTGCCACAGATCATAATGCTGATGCACGAATAAATTGAGGTGTTGAGCTGGCAGCTGCTTTCTTGGCTCTGTCCCACAGTGCCACTCCACGGGGTGTTAGAGGTGGTGGCTACCCAACTTGCTGCCCCTTCCTGGTAATCCTACGGGCATCTCAGCTTCTTGTTAACCAAGGCGAAAGCTGCCTGGCACTTGTGCTGCCGTTGCACCTCCCATCTCTCTTGGCTAGGACAGCCCCAAGCACTTGGTAATACACAGCGGAAACTTCAGTGTGAATGCTCCAGCACCGTGATGGCAGGAAAACCTCTCCCTCCCTCTCCCCAACAAATACACCACTCAAAGTGTTTTTCTCAAGGTCCTGGCAAGCTTTTAGACTCATGGTGTCTTGGAATGGTACATTACTAATACCAATGATAAACACTGTGTGTGTAAATCAATTTGAGTCCGTGAGGTGCCAATAACTCTTCTCAGAGGAGCAGGGCTGTTACTCAACAGGAAACCTCCTCAGCGTGACCTGGGCACCGTGATGGCAGGAAAACCTCACCCTCCCTACCCCCAAAAAATATACTGCTCAAAGCACTTTTCTCACGGTCCTGGCAAGCTTTTAAGGCCTCATCGTGTCTTGGAACGGTACATTACTAATACCAATGATAAAAACCATGTGCTGTAAATCAATTCGAGTCTGTGATGTGCAAATACTCTTCTCAGAGTATTCTCAGGGCTGTTACTCAACAGGAAGCCTCCTCAGCGTGACCCAGAGCGTGTCCTTGCTTGACGTTCACCAGCACTGTGGGAGGGTGATAACTGTGCAGTGCGGGTGCCAGTCACGTGAAGTGAGAAACCTTAACAAAACAGATGCAGGGGTCTCAGTAGGGTGGGCTCTCAGCAGGATAAACTCTCAGCAGCATGGATAAGGGAGGAGCTGCAACTACTGAGTCCTAAAATAAGGATTCAAGGAATACTAAGTTGACATGCTGAAAGGACCTACATGGGTGCAAAGTCACAAGAGGAAGAGGAGGCATCGTCAATCTTCATCCTGATGACCCCTGCCCAAGACCACCAGGAGCCACTGCTCAGACACAACAGTGTTATAAATTGAGACCACAATGGATCATAATTCCATTGAAATTTTATTAATTATAGCAAGTAGGATATGAGCAAAGACAGCGCTGGACGGCAGGGGAGTCTGCGCTCCACCAACTGCCGTCCTGAGCAGTTCAAACAGTCCCTTTTTATACATCTTTACTTCCGTGTTCATGAAGTAGTAGAGGTACTCTGCGCATGCTTCAGTTGTTGTTAGGGGGTCGTTTTCTGCCTCCTGGTGGTCTTTGAGGCCGAAGTAAGAAGTCTTCCTCCTTTATTCCATAGTTGACCCCTTGCTCATATGTCCTTATATGGAGTTGTTCTTCTTATTTCTGGCATTTCCTGGAAATCTGGCGTTTACCTTGCACAAGCGGTGTCTGGTTTAGTTTGTGTAAGTGACTGCGGTTATCTTACCCTACACAAGCGGTGTCTGGTAGCTGTTTGCATAAGCGATTTCATTATCTTTTGTTGCCTAGCCTTTACATTGAGCTTAACATAAATCTTAATACCCTAGTCCATAGTTTCTCACAACGGGGAAGGCCTTGGGGTGGGATTTATGATAATGAATTCTCAAAACTAATTGTAATATCTCTCCCTATTCTCAGGATTATGATGAATGTGTAAACACTTTACACTATAGAAAGGAGCTGCTTTTCGCTCCAAAATGTGCACGTTTGTGGAGGAGCGATCCCCCGTGCACCCAGCGCTGAATAAACGTACCTTCCTTCTTTATAACCTTACAGGTTGTAAAGTCGTTACTCCGCACGCCACACGCTCCCACCGCCTGCCGCACAGACGTGTTTCAGCCTTCCCGTTAAGCAGGGAGGGGGGTGACACCGCGGGGACAAAGCCCCGGGGGGCAGCAGGACAACAGTGACGTGGTTGCAAAGGATGGGGTCCTCGCAGCCTCCAGACCGTGTTCTCACTGGTTTGGAATAGTA